CCCGGCTATTTTTTGGTTGCAGCCATCATTGTTGTTTTGGCGGCCCAGGCTGGATTCGAACCCACCACCTTAGGGGTATGTGGCTGGCGCCTTAGCCACTTGAGCCATAGCTGCCAAGCTGCATTTTTCTTTTCAATTTATTAGAAAAACCTGGACCATTTGCCCTGGATTTTCAATCTAGACTTTGTATCCCCATGGTGTTGTTTAACATGTTCCTCTGTCCCCTACAAATCCTTATAAAGTAGTAGTCAGTTCTGAAGGTTCCATGTGCTTCTGGTTTGATTTGGGGGCAAAAAGTACTTCATAGTTGGCAGCGTGGTGGTGTGTGTTTCAATCAGAAGGGACATAAGGTCCACGTGTGTCTGTTATTTTTATTCAGCCCCAATTTGACAATCCTTTCATCTTATGCTGAAAGCAATGCAGGGCAAAGCTGGCCTTCACTGGCCACGCTTCTTTGCAACAAGACTACCCTCTGGTGGTGATGGACAGTGACGACACAGGTGGCAGCAGGCACGGGATGGGCCTTGGCATCCAGGAAGGATTGGCATCTTGGGTCTGAGTCACCTTGGACAAGTATTTTAACCTTTTTTTTCTTGCAGTTTTTTTTAAGTTGAGATAAAATCCATATAACAAAACTCACGATTTAAAAACGTATAATTCAGTGGGGTTTGTCGTATTACAATGTTGTACCACACCACTAATTCCAGAATACTCCATCGTCTTGAAGAGCAATCCCATGCCTCTTAGCACCAGTCACTCCTCAGATACTCCCATTCCAGCCCCAGTATCCACTAATCTATTTTCTATCTGTGGATTTACATATTCAAAACATCATAAAAACGCAACCGTACAGTACTTGGCATTTTAATCTGGCTTCTTTCTCACTGCAGACAGTTTCCAGGTTCATCTGTGTTGCCGCAGCTATCAGGACTTTATTTCTCTTTGTGACTGAATTAAACTCCATTCTAAGGACTGACCACATTTTATTTACCCATTCATCAGTCTGGGTTATTTCTACCTTGGGGCTGTTACAAACACTCAAGTCCAAGTTTGAAGACAAATTGTGTTTTAACTTCTTGGGTACATACCTATGAATAGAACTGCTAGGTCATAGTAATTCTATTATGTAACCTTTCAAGGAACTGCTGAAATTTTCCACAGCATATGCATAATTTAACATTTCTGCCAGCAGTAAACAAGGGCTCTAATTTCTCCGTATCTATACCAACCCTGATTATTTTCCACTCTATTAAACTTTGAATATTTCCTCATCTATAAAATGAGTTTAAATAGTATGGTGGATCCCCACAGAAACTAGAAATAGAATGACTCTATCCAGCAATCCCATTTCCGGGTACCTGCCACAGGGTAAGGACATCAGCATCTCAAAGAGATATACACACCCCTATGCTCACTGCTCACTATTCACAATAGTTAAGACACAAAAATAACCTGAATGTCATCAACAGATGAATGCATAAAGACAATGTGATACATATACAGAAGATACATATGCTCCAGGTGTGAGCTCAACAACGAGAAAGAAAAACTCTGGGTTCGGTGCCTGTGGCTCAGCGGCTAAGGCACCAGCCACATACGCCAGATCTGGCAGGTTCGCACACAGCCCAGGCCTGCCAGACAACAATGACAACTACAACCAAAAAGAAAAAGAAAAAAATCCTGCCATTCACAGCAACATAGGTACACCTAGTCAGACAGAAAAAGACAAATAATGTATGCTCTCACCTACATGTGGAACCTTCTGTCAAACTCACAGAAACAGAACAGAACGGGAGTTG